TTAGATACCCTAGTCATGAGTTCAGCAAAGTGTATTTCTAAAGATATGTTGACCTTGGCATTAAATAAATTGCTTATTTTGCATTGTATAAAAACCCAAAGAACAGATTTGTCTTTTTGGGGTTTGGCAGGCCCTAAAGGTGCTAAGTGCTACCCCTGAAAACAATTTTCATGTACTTCAAATATTTGGAAGAACCCCATCAAGGTTATTGTTGTTTTAGTTTACGTCCCTTGTCAACAACAAAACTACAGAAACAACAAAGCTCAACCACAAAGTTAAACGGCAGTTATAAAGTTTAAGTTTGCCTTTTTTTTGTAGGCAACCTATGATGAAATCAAAGCAGTTATGAAGAAAACATCTGAAAGCCCAAATCAGAGCAGATACCTGGGATATACAGAGGAAGAGGTTGTGTCAAGTGATTTCATTGGAGACACTCACTCCAGCATTTTTGATGCCAAAGCTGGAATTTCTCTTAGTCCAACCTTTGTCAAGATTGTTGCATGGTAAGGCTTTGTGGTCTTGGAATGATGTCTCTCTTCGTACTTGGGTAGGAAAGATTGAAACATTACAAGATTTCTGTATGTGACTGTGCTAGTCAAGACTTGGGTTGAAATATGACTTTAATGACTGCTTATGGTCATATGGTCATATAGTGGCCTCATGGTTAATGCACTCAACTCTGGATTGAGTAGTCGGTTTGAGCCCTGATCTTGGGACATTGCTGCTGTGTTCCTGGACTGATTATCTGAACTGATCAAGCAAACATTTAAATAAGCACTTTTCCTAATACTTTAACTTATAAAAAGGCTAAAAATCACGAGATACAGGTGTAATTGTATATTTTTTTTTGACAAACAGGTTCACTGCTGTATGTCATGCACTGCCATAACTCTGAAATTCAAAGTGTGCCTGTTTTCAGATGAAGCAAGCCATTGAGCTGAAAAGTTAACAGATATAAATTTACCCCCTTTTTTGACTGAGTGCGAGTGTGATTGTCATCTAAGAAGGGAATGACGACACCATCAAACCTTGAAGGACACGAGAGTGTCATGGAAGTGTTTGTATTCATACTGTCTGACCCTCGTTGTCCAAACTCGGCACTAGCAGGCATGATGACATAATTATAAAGGTAGTTTCCAAATTTTCACTTAATCATTACTCATTGTGTTTTACAGGTATGACAATGAGTATGGCTACAGTCACCGAGTGGTGGACTTGATCAAATATGTTGCTTCCAAAGAGTAAAAACACTGACGAAGAACCTACAGCTGTATCATCTTTTTCGGTCTTGCTAAAATCAATGCAGTGGATAACCTCAAATGGCAGAATCATAAGACCTTGATTTCTAGAAAACCTGAATTGATTTTAGCTTGGTGGAAATGTGATATTTGCCTCCAGTAGATCTTTTTGTTGTACCAAACCTGATTGTTTGTGGTGTTTGCGCGTCTAACGTAGTTTCGTAAAATGCTTAGGGAAGAAAGCTAGAAAATGATCTGAAGTCAACTGTGGTGTGATGTGTCAACTCTGTGTCAAGCTGTGGCAAGTCTAATTGTATTGGTTGCCATGGTAAACTAAGTGATTATTAAACCTTCCTGTCTTCTTGACTTGTGAAGTATGTTGTTCTTGTTATGGTTGGTTGTACTAAAAGTAAGATGATTTGACTGCAACACACAAAACCTAATTTCCTTTCTCCGTTTTTTAATCTCATCTTAAACCCTTTCACCACATGGGAGTATAGGTCCTAAAGGAAGTCTCTCCATCCCTCTCTGTCTTGTGAATGTCTCTCCAGCTGTTGCTAGTTGAAGTCTGCAACTCTTGTCTCCTCCCACTCTATTGACCATTGCCATTTTGTAATCTGAGTAGGTTTTAAATCACAGTATAGGACTGGAGTGAGTTTGCAACTGAGGCTAATGAAGGGAGTCTTAT